AAGAAAAACGAAGAAGATATAACACGGCAACAAAAAAAAAAATCATTTCACCTTTTTTTCTTCTTTTTAATTATATGTTTAATCCTGTTAAAAACACTTTTACTTGGCAAATGTTATAACTATACTAACAGTTGATATAAAGATATAAAAAATCATATATACTAATTTTATCTTCGTTAAAGACATTTCTTTGTACTAATAAATACTTAAACCAGTTATAAGTAATTTTATACTGTACTAAATGTTTCCCACCGAACTCGATAATAAATAAATGTAACTGTACCATTCCACATGTGTTGCTCATCGTTGCCATATAGTTACCTCCCCTACTTTTTTTTGTTACCTCCCCATACATGAACATCTCAAGTGACATTAGTGCAATATTTTACTTAGCTAGACCAATTTAGCCTTTCAAGTATATCCATCTCCTCGATCGACTTAAATAACAATGGCGCACCTACTTTTCTTAGATGTTTGAGGTTTGGCTAATCAGTTTATATATATAAAGAAGGTTTGGCTAATCAGATAGTTACACTTTTGAATAGGTTTTATTTGATCAGAGACTCAGTCTCAGAGTATTGCAGCGGTTAAAATGGACACAACTTTCTTACTACATCACTATATTTACAAGAATTTTTAAATAATAATAAAAATAGAGATATTTGGAAGAATAAGTATTCTATGGACAAATATCCCATTAAACTAGTATTAGACAAAAAAGGCATGGCTGCCAAACGTAAATGTCGAATAAATAAATATCTAAGCGAGTAGAAATCAAAAGAGAAGTAATCTACTAAAGCTTTTGAAGTCCGTCTTGCGATTGGTTTGCATTTGCAAGTTGAGAAACTAATGTTTAAAGAAGCATTAATGAGTGAAAATGTATATACATGTTCCCTATTATTATGCATATATTAAATCACTTTCAATCAAATTTGTGTGCCTTGTTTTCTTTTTAAGTATACAATTCAGCCTCGGAGCTACGACATTAAAAGATATTTTTGGTCCATACGTAGATGATGGTTTTAATAGGTTCAGTGACTATGAAAACGAAGGCATCGTGTCTTGTGTGTAAAATCTCACTATCTTCCAAATAAAGATATATAATAATTGCTTCTTTGAATCGGATGAGCTACACGTTTTTAGATATTTTGCAACCTGTCTTCTTCGTTTTTTTTTTTTTTTTTTTCACTGAAGATGATTATATTGATGATTAAAAACACAACCCATACCAACGACAGGTTAGTGTTGTGATTGGTTACATGTTTAAAAACCAAACACCAAAAAAATGCCGACAAAGACTGAGACAAAGATGAAAGCAGAGCAACACGAAGATCTAAGAACACTAGGAGATTCTCTCAACCTCAAAATGACCTGTCTTCTTCGTTAGAACTAGGAAATATTGATTTATAGAAATATGTTTTTTTTTATTATTTCTCTATTAATTCATTCAACATGTTAATATTACCACTCGCATTGACCATATCAATTGTTTTGATTGAAACCTAAGTTTGATAAATAATTGTCAAACTTATTAAAATAATAAAGAGAAAATACATTATTATGAAAGAAAGAAAAGTGAAAAAATAAAGAACAAAGGATAAACGAGAGGTGGATTTGATTAGGAGTATATGGAATTGCTTCCAATTTTAGCAAAGAAACATAAATTTTTTTGCCCCAAATCTGTTCCAACATGTCTTCTTCATCCGACACATTTATTATCCTATTCTCTATTTTTTGCTAAAATCAAACCAAAGTTTCTTTTTGAGAATTATGTAAGATATTTTTATTTTCGGATAAAAATGAATTATTAAACAATTTTCTTTGTAGTTTTGTTGCTAGATAAGTGACACAATAAGATCATTTCGACGACTTAGAATCAAAATGAGAATAGTAACCAACAAATTATCAAATATCTTCGGATTATTATATAAAAATAAGGAATATATGCAGAGGATAATTAAACAAATTAAGTAATAATAGGCAAACGGATAAATTAATTATAGAAACTAAAGTGATGGATTATCTATTTTGTCGTCTTTCATTGTATCTAAACTTCGACCGACTTCAGCGTATCTAATAATCCTAAAGTAATCTTATGCTCACAGTTTGGTTACTTTAAACTTCGTCAAAGTCATTTGATAAATGTTCACATCACGAAAACGTCCACGTACGTCTATCCCGTGGTAAAGTCTCAAGCCGCTGTTACACATGCTTATCTCACAGCCTTGTTACGATAACCTTGTAGTTTAGATTTTAGTAGAAAAAGCAGCTCCTAGTCCTATGCCTAATAGCCTTAACCATAGTTATATTTTTAACCAAACCATGGTTAAGTGTTTCAACTACATAAGTAGCTTTGCCGGTGAATTACCAAACAACATCAAGAATAAAAAAAAAAGAACTCTGTTCACGACGAATGTGATTTATTATTCATTTGGATTTAAAGAAGATGATGATCGGAGAAACTCGCCGGACTTATCCTACTGTTGAAATACCTCCGTGGCCGGTTTCTGAAGAGCTTACGACGTCGGAGTTTCTTTCTCCGGTGATGAATAGTCCAGATTGTAGCATGCTTGAAGCTTTGGCGGCGTTGCAGCGTTATCTTCCCTCTAACGAACCGGATCCAGATTCTGACCCGGATTTATTGGGTCCTGATTCACCAATCGATGCTTATTCATGTGACCATTTCCGTATGTACGATTTCAAAGTCCGGAGGTGCGCTCGTGGCCGGAGTCATGATTGGACGGAGTGTCCCTACGCCCATCCCGGAGAAAAAGCTCGCCGGAGAGATCCGAGGAAGTACCATTACTCCGGTACGGCTTGTCCTGATTTTCGCAAAGGTGGTTGCAAGAAAGGTGATTCTTGTGAGTTCGCTCATGGAGTTTTCGAGTGTTGGCTTCATCCAGCTCGTTACCGTACTCAGCCGTGTAAAGACGGTGGTAACTGTCGCCGGAAAGTTTGTTTCTTTGCTCATTCACCGGATCAGCTGAGGTTTTTACCGAACCGGAGCCCCGATCGGGTTGATTCTTTCGACGTTTCGTCTCCGATTCGTGCTAGAGCGTTTCAGCTCTCGATTTCGCCGGTTTCTGGTTCGCCGCCGATAAGTCCAAGAGCTGACTCGGAGTCTTCTCCGATGACTCAGTCACTGAGTCGATCTCTCGGGTCTTGTTCGATAAACGACGTCGTTCCTTCGTTTAGGAACTTGCAGTTTAATAAGGTAAAATCATTTCCTCATAACAATCCTTTATTTGGATTCGGATCGCCCCGTGGATCGATTTTGGGTCCTGGGTTTCAGTCTCTGCCTACAACACCGACCCGACCCGGAAATCTTGATATTTGGGAGTATGGGTTAGAGGAAGAGCCTGTAATGGAGCGGGTCGTTGAGTCGGGTCGTGAGTTACGAGAAAAGATGCGCGAGAAACTACACAAGGAGAATTGCATGGATCGGGTTGACCCGGAACCGGATCAGAAGTCGGGTGATGCTCCTGATGTCGGGTGGGTATCTGACCTGCTGATGTAAAGAATAAAACCCGACTCGTATTTTGAAGTCTCATTGGTTTTTTTGGGATATCTTCCGAGGAAAGAGGAGAAGAGATCTTAGTGTGTTCATATTATTTTATTTACTAATTTCGTATTTATCTAATACTCCGTAATAATTAAATATGGATTTATGGGTCCTGATTTTTCTGAGAAATCGTTGTATAGATGTGCCTTAGGGTTTTAATTATGGAACATTAATATATATATATATATATATATATTATTAATATCTATCGTGTTTTATAAGGCTATATTGTTAAATGTAACCACTTGTTACTAATCTATGAATGCAAATTATTATCTAAAATTTGTTGTGTTTCCCTAGTTTTTAGTAATCCAATATTAATATATTTGTTGTGGAATATTGTTTATTAATGAAGTTTTGATGATCTGGTTAACGTCGAAATCTTGTGTTAGGAGTTTGAGAGACTGTTAAATGTTTGAATGGGTCAAATCCAAATCAGTTCATAGCTTATAAGGTTCAAGTAACGACTTACCAAAGTTATAAATAAAAAGTTAAACCAATAAAAGACTTGTTCCATGGTTTTAGTAGCGCTAGGGGGAATCATTCGATTATGACTTTATCCAATACGATTTGGCAATAGCATCGATAAGAAAATGACATTGACCAATACGAGATCATTTGCAATCGCAAAGAAAAGTCGGGTGTGTAACTAAACCGGTACCATTGTTGTTTTGATAACCGGAGATCCGAACTGATCTAGACAACAATCAAAGAATGTTTGAGGGAAAAACTGAGTAATCAGGTTGCCATTTTTTACGTCATGCCATTTAATAGTTTGGTCTGTTGAACAGTAAATTACTTACCGTGTAATGTTTAGGAAAAATGAGTAATCGTGTAAACCGAGTTAGATTTTTTTTTTTTGGTTTATATGTCAACGGACAACAGCTAAAAACTTTCTTAATTATGTTTATTGAGAAAATTTGATATTTGACATTTGGAATATTTGTTATCATTAGAGTTTTCGGGAGAGTTACGGCAAAAGCCAATATAAAATTAACCTTTTTTTTGCCAATATACTAACTATACTATTTTACTAATGACAAAAAAGACATGTGGGTCCAAAATTAGGTTACCACAATTACTATACTTTGATGAAACATAAATGTATAATTAAATGCAATATGAATGTACATACTGATAGTTTTATATGGGGAAACGGCCAAATCTGTAATTACGGAATTAATAGATTTGTGTAGGGTGATTAGCCCACAAACTTGAGCGTAAGGTCAAAAAGAAGAAACCTAATTATAAAGGAATTTAGGCTTTGATCACCACCGTCGAGTAATTTTTAACGTATAAATGAATTTAACTCCGGATTCATTTCACCAGTCAGAAAAATTGAGGAAATTTATTTTTGCTGAAAAAGTAAAAGAAGAGTCAATTCGTAATAACTCTGTTTGGTCCTCTTAAGCATTTTTCTGCTCCATTGGTTTAAATGAAAACATATACAAACTGTTTTTTTTTTCCTTTTCTTACAATTTTAATGTTTTCGTGATAACAAATTTTCTTAAAAAGAAAACAAAAACAAATGAATATTTCAAACCAAAAGAACCAAATTAAATCAATATATGATCTTCAAAGTAAACACAAAAGCAAAAAGAGAAACATAAATGATGAATGAAAATAATTTTTTAGCGACGAAAAAAGATGATGAATCAAACCTTTGAGTTATTTCTCACACTACCTTGCCGTTGGACCAAACGGGGAGTAATCTCCGAAAGTAAGCGAAACCGATCCAGACGAGCTATTATATTCATTGCTACTATAATTCTGAATCGTCGACTTCGTCTTCGTGTACTTCTCTTTCACTACTTCTTTCTTCTCATGATGGCTCCCTGGTTCACGAGCCAGCTCGGCGGCTAAGCACTGTTTCAGATCAGACACGATCTGGTTCGTTGTTGGTCTGTTGGTTCCTCTGTCTCTAACGCAAGACATTGCCACTTCTACAAATTTCCAAGCCGAGTTTGAGGAGAAGTCGCCGTGAAGCCGTGAATCCACGACGCCATCTATGTCTCCGATTTTGAGGAAAGGCTCCACGTAGTGGACAACGCTCATTTTTTCTCCATCGTCAGTTTTCATGATTGAGTTCCTTCCGGTTATGAGTTCAAGGAGTACGATCCCAAAGCTGTACACGTCGCTCTTCTCGTTTAGCTTAAACGTGTTGTAGTACCTATTTTGAAACCGGTTTATGGTGAGACCAACCTGACCAAAATGGTAGAGATTATAGTGGTGATGTGTAAAGGAAACTTACTCAGGATCGACATAGCCAGGAGTGCCCATGACAGCAGTCATGACGTGGCTGAGATCATCCTCGGGGAAGACCTTAGAAAGCCCGAAATCAGCGATCTTGGCTTCCAAGTTATCGTTTAATAAAATGTTTGCTGTTTTAACGTCTCTGTGTACTATTGGTGGCCTGCATCCATGATGAAGATACTCCAACCCTGCCGATGAAAATAAATCAAAAAAGAGGATTACACAACCAGACTAAACCGGGTTTGATATCTCGGTTTAGTTTTTGAAAATTTCAGGATGTCAAAACTGGGACCAACCTTGTGCAGAGTCTATGGCTATATGGACTCTCTTTTCCCAGCTAAGATCCTCTGCATTCTCACCTGCATATCCATAAACAAAACATTCGTTAGCTCAAAGGCAGCAAAAACAGGCAGTAGAGAGATCAAGAGAGATGAAGAATACTTGAAAGATAATCTTGCAAGTTGCCATTTGCCATGTACTCGTAGATGAGAGCCATACTACGACCATCATCGCAGTATCCAACAAATGAAGCTAAGTTCCGGTGATGCACTGTCAAAAGAAGCTCCGCCTGCATACATTTTACACTTGAGCCACCATAAAACTACCTTGTCTAATTTATCAGATCAATGTTTCTAGTGTTCTTTAGATTACCTCGACTTGGAATTCTTTGGAAACATGGGATGATGATGATGACGATGATCCTTTAGATTTTCCAAATGAAGAATCGTTGATCATCTTTACAGCAATTTCAGTTCCATCTTCAAGGGAACCGAGGTACACAATACCAAACCCTCCTTTACCGATCACTTTATTGAAGTTGTTTGTAATGCTAGAGACTTCACTATATGTGAACCTTCTCTTTCCCGAAGGCAGAAGTGGTCCTGAATACGCTCCTGAATACACTAGGAAATTAAACACTCGTCTTCTTTCAGCATTAATTCTGACTTTAAACGTAAAATCTAAGTAAAAGACACACTGTGCTTACTTATTTTGTTTTCCCTTCGCATGATGCATACGATAGCCAAGGCGGCAATGAGAATAATCACTAATGTGGATACAACTATTGGCACCATGATTCTGTTCCCGTCCCGACATGAACGTGAGTGACAAATGTTTTGTTCATCGACACTGGAGACAAAGAGGAAATCAATAAGCTTTTGAAAATGGTAGAGATGTGGATTATCTTAACAAGATGACTATGGTTCCTGTGTACCTGAGTGCAAGTCCATTAGCCGTTGATCTTTTCCTAAGAGATCTTGGGATAAACCCAGTCAAGTTATTTCCTTTCAAATTCCTGTCACACAAAAATTAATGTCAGAGAAAAACTACTACTGAGTGTCTGTCAGTATACACTCAATGAAGTCTCTATGTGCTCAACTCACAGGAACTTCAGATATTTTAGATCAGCCAAAAACTCCGGTACATTTCCTCTGAGGTTGTTGTTTGATAAATCCCTGGGAAAACAATGCACACCACTCTTATAGTTACTGGGAATAAAGTGGTGGCAAGTGTCAATGTGTTTGTATACTTACAATGACTCAAGAAGGGAGAGATTTCTAAATGAGAAGGCTATTGGTCCATGTAATCCACTTGAACTAAGATTCCTTCTCGCAGCAAAATACAGAAACAAGCTCATCAGCAAAAATTATCCTTGAGGGATATTACAGAAACAAGCTCATCAGCAACACTTTTGCTTGGGGGAAATTACAGAAACAAGCTCATTAGCAACACTTTTGCTTGGGGGAAATTACAAAATGTGTTTTTCAGGTTGAAATGTGAATGAGTGACTTACAAGGACTTGATTTGATAATTAGAAGTGTTGTAGCTGCATCCAATACCTTCCCAAGGGAAGAGTCTGGGAGAGCAAGGATCACCAGTCCAAATCTTATTCACGTTATACGTTGCTTTTATGCTTTCTATGGCTTGAACTGCATTAACAAGAGAGAATGGAAAACTGTGAGTTTCAGTGAAAATTAAAGTCCAGAAATCATACAAATTATACGTAGTCGAGTAACAAAGTAAAGATGAACACACCGTCGTCAATTGTGGTGGAAAATTCATCCAGAGATTGAGCTGTAAATATCTCAATAGCATTGAGTATTGGTGGACGTGTTGAATCTGCGGTCTTCTGAACAGAAATCCAGTGATCTTTACCAGTGAAAGCTCGCGAATTAGACACTGTCATCGAATACTCAGAAGATGGATTGAAAGCTCCTGAAACAGGCGACCCATTCCAGAAGATCTTGATTTTTCTGCTCTCATTCCTCTTGAGATTTTCGAGTTCTGCAAAATAGAGGTACGCATAGAACCGGGTATCTGGATCGCCTGATGTCCAGGACAATTCCAATGGTTCATCATCACTTTTAGGCAAAGCAGCTGTCTTAATAACTTCATCTGGTGGTCTATAACCAGACTGAAAAATATCGATATACCCAGTAGTCATAGTTGAATTCCAAGAGACTGGAGAGTACGGAGACCAAATACGATCATATGTATCCTTTTGGTACCGTCCTGTTCCATTCAAATATCCTGTATCCCATCTTTGATAGAGTACCAATGAGACATTTCTTCCAAACTCAGTACCATAGATTGAGCTGTTCATTGGCCGGAGCTCCAAAGCTGAAATAAAAGGAGTTCCTTTACCTGTGTTCACAAGGCAAACATATATTGTATCTGACTCTGCAAAGCTGAGGATCTCCTTGATGACGTTCTCAGAAGCATTTCCGAATTTCACTGAGGTCCAGAAATTCACGTTTACGTAGAGATCAAACTCAGGCAAAGCTTTTTTACCATCGTAGTTTCCATACATAAACGAAGCTCTGATGAGATAAAGATTCCCTTTTCCATCGGAGGGGGTTAAGGTGTAACAATTCCTGTTTCCTTGAGGAAAAGATCTGACATCAGCAAGTGGGAAAGGCAAAACCGGGTTTTTCGGGTAACCATATTCTTCAGAGACGTTCACATTAACTCCAGCGTTTATAAAAGGTGCATCCCAGGTGTAACTGATACCAGTATCAGTGTCTACATAGTTTATATTAGGGGGTGACCCACAATCTATGCTGATGAAACCTGAATCAGAAGACGGTAAAGGATGTTGATTAATTCTGTAACTGTTGAGAAAGTTTTGATCAAAATTCCAAGACATTTCAAATCTACCGAATGTTCTCAAATTTTAGAACGTGAGGTATTCAAATCATAGAAACAGACATGGACCTCGCTTATCATGTCAAACCAATAATCAGAATGCGGTTCTAGCCAAAATGTATAACCCCATGATCTAAAGAAACTTCATTTTGTAATATCAACAAAAAAATATCTCTTCAAAAATATTTGGTCTGAAAAGAGACAAAAAGAGGAAAATAAGCGAGAATGAGATTCTCAAACCTGCTTGGCCTTGGCCATGAACTACAATGGCAGTGGCAATGACGCAAAAAAGGATGAGAAAAACAGAGTGAGCTCCCATGTTCTTCTTCTTTTGTAAAGCTCAGCTCATCATTGTCAGAAAAACAGACAACCTGCGATTAAGATAACACAAAAACACAAAATACCCGAAAGTACAAAGTCTATGCCCATTTCCTTTTCTGGGAGCACCAAAGTACAGAGGTGCTGCGCACGTTTGAAAAAAGCGGCCAAGAAAGGATATAAAAATCGTAATACAGCTGTCAACAAATAATCTGTGGGTCAACAACTAACCATGATATATAAAAATCTTTTTAAAAAGGACATAGCCAACATTGGACATAGCCGACAGCCGACAGATAAGCATCTTATCTGACCACAAAACTGTGGTCACATAGAATAACAGACCATTGCAACCTTTAGGACTACTGATAAAGAAACAAAAACTTTAAGCTATAGTGTCTTTAATTGTTATGCTGGAGAGTTTTAGAACTAAGCTTCATCTTCTACTAGCTGCCTTGCAGTATCAGCTTCATGTGATGAGCTCAACGCGAATGAAGATAACTCAATGTAATCAAAGTCCTCAGTGATTCCGGCCTAAAATATAACCCAACTGAATTAGTCTCTCCTTGATGTAAGAGAAGGTGCAATGTGGAATCGATAGCATTTAAAGTGAAAAGATCTGGAAGATACCTCCGTGTATAGATGTTCTAGCTGTTCCTTGGCCTGGGGGAAGTTGTTTGAACACCATTGTTTCAATGTGAAGATGTTATCTGAGTAAGTTTGAAAGAATTACAATTTAGGCTGCGGTGAAAATTATGAACCTTTTAAAATTGAAAACATGTTCCCAAGTTTTAGAAATGAAAAACCTGTCCATCTGTTAGCCGACTGGTGAGCAACTTCAATTGCTTTCCCTGTCAAATTAGAAAAAATACACATTGATACAGATAGTAAAGCACAAGACTGGTTCTTATTTTTGCTCCACCAAGACCAGGAAAACCCTAGGAGATCTAACAGAGAACAAAAGTAACTTATTATGCAGAACTTAACTAATTGCCTCCAAAGTAGCTGGATCGTTGTCAGCAAATTGTACCATTTCGTTCTGTTTAAGAAGAAGAAATTGTTAGCAACTTGTTAAGCATGCAAATACCTCTATGCAAACAGATAGTCTATATAATCCGACCTTCAGCTCTATGAGTTTCTTTTCAATATCTTTGAGTTGCGTCAAGGCCTCTGTTCGTTCCTCCTGCAGCAAGAACAGCAATTCTGGTGAAAACAGCATGTAAGCTTATTCAAGCATTAATTCTGCAATACTTAAAATACTTACCGATTCTTCCCTTCCCTTCTTTAGGGCCTCACACTGATCAACAAGTTCTGCTAGCCTTTTGTTACTACCCTGAAGATCAGATTCAAGTTTCTGACGGATACTCCTAAGCTGTTCATTCAGAATAGTTGAAGCATGATCAGAATCTATATCTTTCATTAGAATCAAATTAATGTATATCTATATTGAAGTCATATCAGGATAAGAATGGTGTGACTCACTTGATTGCCAGCACAGCTGGGAAGGCTCCAAAAGTAGATCTTCATTTGCAAAATAATGAACACTGTCAAACGACATATAAAAGCAACAAGGACTATATGGAAACAAATAAAATAAGTTGTCGAAAGATCCAACATAGGAACAATAGCTACTCACAGAAATCCCAATCTTGTCTTTCGCGACAAGATCATCATCGACTAAACTCTGGATAACATCTTTCACAGACTGACTAATTACACCCCTCTTCGGTCCCATCTTCTCTAGTTCCTTTAGCTGAAAAAGTTTACAGAAGTAGAGACCCATAAGTGTTGGTATCACAACCCCAAAAGTTCAATAGCAAAAATTTTAGGCAGTATATGCACTTCACCACTCTAGATATCAGGTCACTTGGTAGGTAAAGCTAGTTCAAAGGCGTCAAAAAATAAACAAGTAGTAAAAACTAAAGAAAGTGCTCACTAGGAAGAAGTCTTGAGACTCATAGAATATCTGAAGCATCTTCTCCCGCTTCTCCTCCAGCGAAAGCCCCCGTTTCTTTGACTGAATATCATCAACAATAGAAAGTAATAATTCAGTTCAAATGAGAAATTAGTTTAAGAAAATTTACAAAATCTTCAGAGCTTGAATGAAGAAAGATCTGTCAACAGTCAATTCCGCGACTACACTGATTGCAAAAATTGGCTGCTAGATATATGCAAATTCGAGACACCAATCGATTCCCGTCATGCAGTCCAAGTGTTTGCGGAAATTCCTCAAACAAATATGTAATGAGTTACGGAAGATAGAAACAGTACTATCGACCCAAACTACGACAAGCTCAAACAAAGTTTCCCGAAGAGGAATAGAAAACACATCGGTGACTACTAAACATTCAAGCAAATAAGTCGAATCAAAACATCAAAATTCTCTTAGGAAGCTGAAGAAACACAAGCTAAGCTCATCAGTTCACGATAATCACGATTCATAGAATGACGGAGAATAATCACTCGATTTTCCCAGAAAGAGATTGCACAAATCACAGAGGTTCATTAGCGAAACAAAATCACAAGTAGAGTAGAACAATCGTCCAGAGTATATTTACCATCGTGATCTCTTGTTCCTGATAATGCAATCCAAAGGATTTCAAACTCTGCTACACCTCTCTCTCTCTCTCTCTCACTATCGTCTCCTCTCTACTCTCTCTCTATCAAATTCGAAATGAGAGAATTGTTGAAGAAGCCTTGAAAACTTAAGCGGGTTATTATCCCTCGCTTTCAGTTTCATTTTTTATCCAATTAATTTGAATTAAACCTTAAAACGACACGGAGTGCAATTTTAAGATACCAAAACGGAATAATTTTTGTTGAAGCAGTGAAGTCAACGTATGGTTGACTATTGAAGAATAGATGAGTATAGTTTATTATTATTAATCAAAGGGAAAAGTGTCATAAAAGATACAAAAATTACAAAAGATAAATTATGTGAAGAACACTCAAATGCAGATAACATTAATGAAGATAAAAGTTGCTCTGATTTAATCTGATTCAGATCCTTATATACATCGTCTGTTCTTGTTTATCAATGCATACATGTCTCTGTTTGGAGAGGTAAATAACCTGCAGTTAAACCAAGCCAATTGCAAAGGTAATTAAATTAAAAATCCATCAGTATGTGAGGAAATTGCTTGATTGAGAAGTGAAGTGACCTTAGAGGGCCATCTCAGCCTGTAATGCAGCGAGTTCTTCTTCCTCAGCAGTCCGCTTCTGGGGAACAGGACGGGCGGGTTGACGCCCTGCAGGCACGGGAACTGAAGGCAATGGAGCGGTTGTTGCCGGCTGTAGAAGTTGCGATTCAAGCTCTTCACTTTCTAAATCTTCAAGCTCTTGTTCAAGATCAGCCTATCAAAGAGAATTTTTTCTTAGACAAAGATCATTTGCAGAAAAAGATATGATCATGTGGGGTACAAGAAAAGTTACCTCATCAAAGTCAGCCGCTGCCCCGATTGGAGTCGCCAATGCTTCTTGGATCTGTTTCATGTTCTCGGTCTGCTCATTGATCTCGTCCATGGTCTTGTCCACATCATCAATATTTCTGCAAAACAGTGTGTTTTTTTTGAGTTAGGCAGGTACTAGAAACGTTAAAGCATTCAGGCATAAATAGAAAAGCATAAGAAAGATGATGCTCTTGTTAACGATTCCCAGAACCGATGACAATTATGGGTGAAAATGTGATAAACACTTACGTTGCTTTCTGCATTGCTTTCATAGCAGAAGCTCCACTCCTTAATGCATCAACAGTTTCGGTTGTTGCTTTTGCGCCTTCTAACATAATCATCTGTATGAAAAAACGATATAAGAAATCCCGATAAATTCATCTATTACTGCTGCAATTAACAATCTTCGAAGGACAGTAATAAACAAAAAAAAAAAACTCACTTGGTCATGTATGCGGAGCTGGAAATTCCCAAGCTGTTCAACTTGTTGCTCATATAACCTCTTCCTTTTCAAACACTGTATAGCCGCTGCACAAAACCAATACAATTTAAGTACTCCAGTAATTAGCAACACACACATGAGTCATAACAAATCAGGACGTACCTCGTTTGTTCTTTGCCCGGGTGAATTCTTTTGCCTTGTCAACCTCTTGACCAGCTTTCTTCAAGAGTACTTTCTCCTTTTTCTCTAGCATCTCAAGCGTCTACAATGAACAAACATTACAACTAAGTAACAACCATGGAAAAATAAAGAAATTGAAGTAACATAAACAAAACTTGAAATCCCCTCTAATACATAGACACGATAAAGTGACATCTTCATCAACAATATTAGCCAGATAAATCAAACTAAGATCTTATTATGGTAATGAAATTCCACGAGTAAACGAACAGTATAGAGATCAGTTAAGAGAAAGATCTTAGTTTTCAGATCGAAACACAGAGAAGTAGCGAAACCTCGTTAAGCTTGTCTAGAGTTTGGAGAGCATTAGACTCCTGTTTGGGTTTCCCGAATAGCCGATTCATCATGATCTTGCTCAAATATCACCCACTTCGATCTCTTCTATACCCCAACCGACACGATCACAAGTCACTAACAAATTCCACGAAAAATTACAAAAATTTAGCACTAATTAAGAACCGATCGAGGAAGATTCAGGTTTCTTAAGAATCGGATCAAAGTACCTGGGCAAGTCTGGATTGGAGATGGGGAAGATCAATTTTAATAGGGTAACGAAAAATAACTTTGTTTTGGTTTTGTTTGTTTATTTCGCGTTTTTGTGTTCACAGAGAAGGATTAAGATCGAAGGAACTAGGAACCAACTTCCCCTTTTTCTACACGCGTTGATGTTAATCGCGTTAGCACGTGGTTACTTTTAACTGGTTGTTTATCATCGATCTTCTTGTCTGCGTTGTAGCCGATAATATTGGTTTGGTACATCTAACCGAACTTCAATCATATTAAACCCGAACCAATAATTGTTTACTAAACCTATCAGTACCGTTTTCTCAAAACCGAATCAAATCACTTTATTTTTCATCAATGCTAGTTTTTTCTTGCAACATATGAATTTGAATCTGGATAATGCCACTAGCATAAACTATTATATGCTACGAATCCTAATTATTTTTGTTTATGGGAAAGTTACTAGATTAACCCAAATTATGAGTTTAATTACTAGAATGTCTCAAAAAATTTAGGAGTTAAATGAGTTATTTTCATGACCATAATACCCTTTCTCTCTTTGTTAGAAATAAAAAAAAAGTCAAAAATACCCTTAAATATATTTAAAAAACGTGGTAAAAAAAAATTTGGAAAAAAAAATTATTTGAAAAATCTGCTGGGTTAGTTGTGACAGGTTTATTTACCATGACAGACTTATTTTTCTATGACAGATTTTTTGCGACAGATTTTTTTTCTCCTACAGACTTACTTAAAATAGGTTACGACAGATATTTAATTTGTAGCAGATTTTTTTCTCACGACAGACTTATTTTATGATGACACCACAGACTTTCGTAATTTTGACAGATTTATTAAAATGTGTGGCAGATTTATTGTTTTAGTGGCGTCAGACTTATATTTTTCGAGAAAAATCTGTCATAATGTAGAAGATCTGTTATTAAAAATATAATTACTAGTTTGACTTATTAGTGATAACAGATTTATTTTATGTTATGACAGTTTTTTTTTTCTTAACAAAAATCTGGAGTGTGATAGCAGATTTGTTATATAAAAATATAAATTGCTAGAATGTCATATATTCACAACCGAAATATTTTATGTTATGACAGATTTTTTTTATATTATGACAGATTTCAGATAGACTATAAAAAAATCTGTCGTATGATGACAGTTTTATTGATGAAAATAAAATTTTAATCTGCACAATAAGGTAATGACAGACATATTCTTATCGCGACAAACTTATTTATAATAAGATGGTTCATGTGTGGCTGTCTCCTTGTTAATATATGATAAAGATAATTTTTTCTTCGTTTTTATATATTTTTTCTTTTTAATTTTTTTTTGTATTTTTTTGTTTTATTTTTTTTGTTATGTATTTTTTTTCATTTTAATTTTTTTGTCGTTTTGTAATTTTTTTTTCTAATTTTTTTATTTAATTTAGTTATTATATGTTAATTATTTTATTTTAATTGAATTGAAAATAAAATGGGTAGTTGTTTTCTTTTTGTTTTTTATTTTTTATTTTTTTTTTATTTTTTTCAATTTATATATATTTTTCATTTGTATTTTTTGTTTTTTTTTTTCAATTTTCGTTTTTTAGTTTTATATCTTTTTGTTTTTTATTTTTTATTTTTTATTTTATTTTTTTCAATTTATATATATTTTTCATTTGTATTTTTTGTTTTTTTTTTCAATTTTCGTTTTTTGGATTTATAATTTTTTTTGTATTTTTTAATTTTCTATTTAATTTAATTATTTTATTTTAATAGAACTGAAAATAAAATGGATATTTGGTCTTTTAACACAAAATTTGTGTTATTCTAATAAACCACAATATTTGGGTGTTAATCTAGTTATTTTTCTCTAAATTTGAGTCAAACTAGGTAATTTTCAGTTTGTTTATTTTATCCACACACAAACAATGCAACAAAATTTTCAATTACACTCATTCAACTAAACTTTGTTCGAACTTGTTATTTTTTTCTGAACTAATAAAGCTAATCAAAAATCCGTAGCAAAATGTATTACACTTGACTTGTGAAATGTCAATCATACAATACAAATCCCAAACAAGAAACAACGACGTTTTAAAATTGGTTACTTAGAAAACTATAAGAATATCAAACTATATAAAATTAATAACATTAGTAAACTTTGAGTAAACTACATTACTCCCCTAATTAACGAAGACGAATAAAAGGTAGAATCACCAATGCATCCTACGCCTCTCGATATTCCCGACCACAGCTTCTCTGACACCCGAACACGACGGTCTCTGCATCCTAACACCACCACCGCCGCCGATACTCCTTCTCCATCCGCCGCCGGAAACATTACTCTCCGGTCTCTGTCTCGGTGCGCTATGCGACCTCAGTTTTGCCCTAAACGACGTTGTATCCGCCATGTAACCCGAGTTAAATTCCCCCGACAAGAAACAGAACCGGTGAGCATCAGCCTCCGTATCAACCTCCGCCTCTACTCCGCCACCAGAGCAGCATACACTCCTCGCCGGAGACCCACCGGAGAAACGAGGTGTGCTCTGCGCCGTCGGGAACTTGCTACTGCACTCTTCCCATTCAGGTTTAGGCATTGATAGACGCGGTGGGACTCGACCCGAGAGCGGTGAAGAGAGCGTACGTCGAAACGGGTTGTCTAAGAAATCCGACCCGGTTAAAACGGGTGCTCGGATCTTATAAGTCCCGGGTCGGGTCCCTGTATCTACCTCCACTATCTTAGCTGTCTCTTCGCCGTTGTTTCGATTTTCCAAAGATCCGGAGAATCTTTCCTGTGAAAAGTTACATCAACACTTTTACAGCCTGGTTAAAAAGTTTTAATCTTCTTAAGAAGATTTAAACTTTTTACATAAAGGTTAAACAGTTTCACTCTTTTTACAAATTCGCTAAAAAGTTAAAATATCTTTACAAGATTAGTTAAAAAGTTTTTCTTTTCTTTTAATCCGATAAATATTAAGAAAATCATCTCTATGTTTGATACTTTGATGTATCAAATTATGGAACTCAATCCGATTTGAGAGCTGAGTTTAGATAATATTTTAAAAAAGCTTGGTACGGTCAAACCGGAAATGTAAGTGTTACCGTGGATTTTCTCGCCGGAGCAGCATTTCCGATACGGCGGAGAGCTCTCTGAAACTTAACCGTAGTTTGAGCTCTAACAAGTGCCTCCATACTCCGGAGAGTCGCCGCCGCTTGTTTCCGTACCAAAAAACCTCTCACTAACGCTTGAATCTTCACCACTCCTCTCAACGCTCTTAACGCTTTTCTCGCCTTTTACGTTACAAAAATATAACGGCTCAATTAACTTAAATATTTAAAAAATGATTAGGGAAATTAAAATTATAAATTGTTAGTACCAAGTAGCCTCTAAAGGCACACTGGATCTGCATAGCGGCACGATTCTCACGGCATTTTCCACCTCCTAACGGACCACTCTTTCCTTGACCTTGGAGCCTAACAACCGCAGCAGCCGCTTTAGCCGCCGCAACCGCTGCGTCAGCTGCAGCAGCTGTGGCCGCAGCAACAGCAATTGCATGCGTTCTACGCTCTTTCTCCTCCTCTCCAGCCGCGTAAAACGACCTTAACCACGCAGCCTCTTTCTCGGAGATATTAGGTGGTATCGTCTCGTAGCTGTCGCATAAAGAGCGGTCAAGGCGGTTGGAAATTGCGCCGGAGTCGGTGCCGCCGGAACATGAAGAAGGTTTGATTCCGAACAAACCCTTGAACCACCTCGTAGCTCGACCCATTTTTGTCTCTCTCTCTTTACTCTGGTCAATTTTGTGAGATTCTTTCTCGTAATGGTTTTTAGTTTGGTTTCACTTGTAAATACAATTTTATTTTAGTCTATTTTTTATTTGACCAATATAAAAGAGTCTATTTTTAATTTACAAATTTGTAAATAAATGAAAGATACGACGAAATATGCGTACGATTGGTCGTGATATAGGGTCCATATATTAGTGTTTTATACTTTAACGTATAGTGATAAAGGTTATTCGTAATTTAGGTTCTATTTTTGTTTTTATTGTATATGAAATTTAGGGATTACAAATCCATTAAAAACTACGTTCATGGATTATATAATCCGTGGTATTCATATGCGGTGTGAGAAAATTCGATTTTATTGTTTGGTATGAATTTTACCATTTTCAGTCTCCATAACTAGACAAATTTAGTTAACCTTACATTGACAATCTCTTGATTCATAATTCTAAAAAATTTTAAAAATCTGGATTTCTTGGAAATATAGTAAAAAAAGAAAAGATTAAGGAATTAGTTCTGCCAAAAAAAATAAGATTAAGGATTTAGAAGTAAACAAGTAGCTGAAAATAAAAAAAAAATAAAAAAAAAAGTAGCTGCAAATAAAAAAAAAAAAAAATTAAGTAACGAGAATTTCAAGATAGCTATGATGGATAGGTGCTTTCCATTTTCTGCAAACTTTTGTATCTGGCAGAAGTTGTTTGCGTAATCATATTGACATTCCCATGCAATTATCCTTTTTTTTTTTTAATTAGATCAACAAATTTATTTTGGTTTCTATAAAAAGAAAAAGAAAATTAATAAGAGAGGAGGAACTGAAGATGAATCTCTCTAACTGTGTTGATAATTTTTTTTTCTTTTTCATAACGTCTATATTGAATAGAAAAAGTTTATAAAGTCTTGAATTAAACAACTGCTTAACACTGTACTTTTTGCTTCGAAATTTGCTTGTAATATATTTCTTCCGTTTCATATTAAGTGTCGTTTTATCCTTTAAATTTTATTTTAAAATAAGTGTCGCTTTGTATTTTCAATGCAGATGTTTGATATAATTTTCAGTTTTGTTTCTACTAATTTAATGTATTGACCAATGAAAAAATAATAAAATATATAGATAATGGGTAAAACATTAAATTTAATTGTTTTCTTAATATGTATGCAAACTTTAAACGACACTTATTATGAAACAGAGGAAGTATTTTCATAATGTGTTGTCGATTGCTTCTACATATTATATATGCTATATGTATATGCCTTGGAAATCTAACTTAATTAACTTTTTTATAAAGTTCTGATAAAAGGGGAAAATTGGCAGTAAAAACAGTGAAAAGGAGAACGTAACGCTCTTGGCCGCCTTTATAAGCAAAAAATGATGATATAAAATTATATTTTATATATGTAGTTTAATACTATAACTCAAAAATTTAATTATAATGTTTCGTAGTAGAAAAATTTGTTGTATGATAAATAAATAATCATTAGAAAGAAACGTTTGTTCATGAACTAGATTATCGCTCCACAGTATGTGATAATTAATGTTATAATCCATTACAAAACTTATTTAGCATAGTCCAAAACTCCAAACTATATGTAGTCCAAATCATTGCATATATCATCTGAAATTATGAACTCTTGTGGGAAATAAAAGATAAAAACAAGTAATTCTATATTAGATAAAACAGATCTTGCAGGCAGAGATTCCAACTCATTGGAGCCCTAACAAGTAACAAGTCAATTTTTTTGTTCACATGCTTTGTCATTTTCTCTACCCAAAAACTCTGTAAATTTGCAAAGTTGAAAACGAAATTTCTTGAGAGTAGAGACCAACCCATTTAATTTTTATTTCAAGATTATAGCAAAAGGAATATTTGTCTTATCAATTTTATCATCTTCTTCTTATGCGACTAGTTTACTTCTATTCATCACACTATCACAGTGGAGATCGGTAATTTAATAATTAGCTAGATATATACAAAAGAGAAGAAATGCTATTTGAAAAGTTTTTTTCTTGATAAAAAAAGTAAATGAAGAAGAGAATCTAGAGTGAGGTCACGTATCTCTTGTGTTTATGGAACTAAAAAGTCTTCGGCCATTTGAATTTGACAATAATCTCTTTCCCTTGCGGTCCTTCTTCTTCAATTCGCCGTACACTTGTTCGTCGTTTTTTCTTCTATACGATTTTATTATCTCAAGATTTTCAATTATTGGGTACCTTGTTTTTGCACGTGAACTTTATATGCTTTTGGGATCATCAAGGTGGTTCTTTTGGTAATTTTAACTGGATTGATCCGAACCCATTTTGCTGGTTTTGGGGACTCAATTTATTTGGAGCCCAAAGAAAAAAACAAATTCTAAAAGAATTGGAGTAGGCTTGGGTCTAAGACTATGAGTGTATATTTTCCTTCACCTGGCCTCTTAGAGCTATACACTGTGGGCTTTTCATTTAAACTAGGCCGATTTTAAAACTTACATGACTAGTAAAAGTAAATTTCGTCTGGCCTAGGTAAGTGAGTCCTTCAAATGGGCCGATTCATTCTTACGATTTCTTACTAAATCACTTACATGGCGACTAATTTATTTATCGATGTATTGTTAGGTTTGTACTGTTAGGCCAGGTTATCCATTTAAAAACCATGGAACAAAACATTTATGTGGAACAATGATCTTGGGTATATATCCTTCAGACATCATAATCTGAAGAAACAAAATTCTTAATCTTTGAAGAAACAACCAATTTATACTTTTATGGTCCTTGAAACGCTTGGTTTCTGGTTTGAGCTGATTTCTGGTTCAAGTGTGGCTAAAATCAGAAACGGCCTTATCCGACAAAAGATATCAGATAAGTGATTGGGTTTCTAATCCAAAGTAGTGAATATTAACGGTTCCATCCAAGCCGAGATGTACATAGTAGACCACATTATTTGAATAATTACCGGATTCTCTTATATCATGTTAAAGTTTATTTACTTTTATTAAAACCAATTGACAATGAGTCAAATCGACCAACATTATATTGTAGGTATTTAGTTTTTTTTTTCCTTCTCATTTTTGATGTTGCACCCCTACAGTGGGGGAGTGAGAGAGATAAAGATCCAAATGCGCAATCTAACTCTAAACATATTGAAACAAAAAAAACAGAAGCATATTCATATGTATCATAATCGATAATTTGCTTATTTTACCCTCTGGGTTAAATCGTGCTGGTCAAATAATAAAGGAGAGTCAAGTTATTGGGTCTACATATTTCAAAATCAAGACATGTGAATTGAGGAAAGAAAGAACAAAAGGTCTGGTGAAAAAGCCCTAAAAAGAGCAAGAAAAGGGAAACATGTGGAGAAAAAAGTGTCCCACAGGCAAGTCATGTGTTCATAAATCATACTTATGACATCTTCTTAATATACATATATAGATATCTTTTATATTAATATCATATATATACATGCAACTTGCAATATGTACGTATCTGTATAATATTTAGTATGTCAATCTAAGTTAAATTATAATTTATAAATTCTGAACAAGAAGATGTTGGGTCGGTACCTCATATTTTTTTATCACTGCAGAATTTTTGTGGTAGATACAAGTTCCAGATTTTGATAATTAACGTATAGTAATTCGAATTTATGATATGATGAACATTTAACTGTGTTCACTTAATTGTTCCAAGTCTAGATTGAATTTGATATGACGTATGCATGGAAATTATATGCAAGTCAATCTACATCACTGTTATATCATATATTATCATACTTTTTCATTTTTTAAACCCTAAGAGGTCCATAACACGTAAGAACATGTTTGAATTAGTCTCAAGATTTTGTCTAGGATAACCTTTGCCTGAAAGTACGATCACCAATTGCAACTTAAATCTATTAAAATTTTGAAATGTTAGATAATATATATAATTTTGTGGAGTAGATTTTCTTAAAATGGGTTTATGTCATCTCTTTATTATTTATTTTTGGGAATTATAGGACAAAGATGGGTATAAGATTGTGAAAGTGTTGGTTACAAGGTGGACAAATAAATTAGGGCATTCGCCAAAACATGCTTGTGTAGGCTCCCATGTATGTGCATGTGTTTTGGTCTCTCATGGCATGGTGTTTGGTTTATGTCCTTTCATTTTTTATTGATAATTTAATTTTGTATTAATTGTGTTATTGTTTGTGGTCTTGTTATCACATGTTTGTCCAGTATTGGCTATAAATTGGGATGGATTGTTACCATAAATGGAACCCATGTGACATGAAAAGATAGCTTTTGCTTATGGTCATGCACATATAGATACACTCGGATATATATATTCTATAGTTTTGAGTGGCTAGATATTTATCAATAATTATCTGATCAGGGCCGGCCCAAACTATTTGAGTGCCTAAAGCAAAAAAAAATTTAGACCATTAACAAAAGCTGTTATAAAAAAAGAATACAAGTTTTAACATGTATGGGATTCGAAACCGTGACCTGTACAACAAAAGACTTCAATCTAACCACTAGACCATAGTAACATTTTAAAAATTGATGCCCTTAAAACTACTTATAATTATTTGATGCCTAAAGCCCTTGTTTCATGGGCTTTACCCATGAGCCGGCCCTGTATCTGATCTACTAAGAAAGATAAGCTATAAAATAACTTTGACTTATAGATACATAATTTTTTTTTGTCGAAAAGACTTATAGTACATAATATACATATATCCTATTTGTATATATATATATATATATATATATATATATATAGCTTCCCATCATTTATAATATATGTTTAAAAATCATAACAGCATCCACCAAGGTTCTTAAATGGATTTGTCCCCAATCAAATTAATAAATAGTTTGCATATTAGTTTACATTATCATTAGTGCACTGAGGTTTTTGCAGGATTCAATTAAGAATGTGGCCTAGTACAATTGCATTATAAGCACTCAAATGTCAAATATATACATAATTAAAAAGAGTTGACACAAAATAAATTATATGATTAACTAATGTTTCGCCAGAATATTAGATTCTTCAAATTAGAGAACACTCACAATAATATAATGCTAATTTGTTTAATCTGTGTAATTATATCTTCTACATTTTCTAGAAATTTAAACGAATTATGTCCTTTTCAATAGCTTTTCTTTGGTATATATAAACAAAACCATATTTAAGTATCATGTAGAAACATTTTTGCATTACTAGAACTAACACATCTAAGAATAATGTAAAAACGATGTATAATCTATAAAAAAAACAATTATAAATATTTTAATTAGGATTTAGTTTTTGTTTCATAATTGATATAATAAGTAAACTTTTACAAATAAGGTGAAAACTTATGATTGAATTTAAAATTTTACATTTGATCTCTCATAACATATTCATCTAATACTATTAATAATAAGTTGATATACTTATTAAGCAACACATATATAGACCAAGCATTTAATACACTTATATTGTT